GATAATACGAAGTTCATGGGGAGTTTTATATGAGAAAGGGAGTGAGAGAACAGAGGAGAAAAGTAAAAAAAAAAAGAAAAAAATCTTAGCTTACAATTCACGTTTTAAAACGGAGAGATTCCTTAAATACCCTATTTGGTCTACGAATTTTCGCTTAAGCAAGCATACTTTTGCTTGGACGAGAACACCAGACAAAAATTTTTACACAAGTTTATGATAAAATCTCACCTCAATGAACTTTCTTATCACTTGAGTGAAACATGGTCCAAAGAGCTCACACTTTCCCCCATGCCTTCTCGCTTACGCGAGAGAATAATTACCTCGCTAATGCACCGCCAAAGCAAAGAAGGAAGGAGAAGGGTTCAAAAGATGGGCTTGCAGGTTAGCTAAGAAGGTCCAATCTAATCGACGACATAAAAGTTCCTTATCAGTTGATGGCTCCATACCGAAAAGACCTAAATAATCCCTTGGATCGGAGAACTAGGCAATTCGCTTGAGCAAGATTACTCTACAACGAGTAGTTTAGGAAAACCAGTATCACTTGAATGAAGCATGTCTCGTTTGAGCGAGATCCCCTACAATTTTCAAGAGATTCAATATTTTCTATTTTTAAAAACAAAAATGTAATAATTTACAATAATAAAAATAAGATGTTACAAATTGGACCTATACCTAACGTATGCTAAGCTATAAACTTCTATTTTATCTCTTTACAATTTTTTATTTAACTTTTTGTAAATATTATAAATTTTTTATTTAATCTTTAAAAAATAAGAACTAAATAAATAAACCCATGATATTTAAAGGAATCAAATGAAAAAAATAAATAGAAAATGAAATAAAAAATTTATAAAATACTTATTTTAAGAAATAGGTCCAAATAGAAAATTATATACTATTATTATTGTACAAAGTTTCCTATAATTTTCATTTTTTTTTGTCAACTTTTAATTTTCACATTTAAACAATATTTGTAGCAATAATTTTGTCAATAAAATTTTGTGAATAGTTTGTAGGTGTACGCGCACTCACCCATTCAAACAATATTTATAGCAACAATTTTTAATAATAAAATTTGTAAATAAGTTTCAAACCTCACTCACATACATACTCATGCATGCATTTATAAATAATTTTTTTATTAAATATCAAACCTAAATATTTACACAATTTAAAATTTTTATAAAATTTAAAAATTTATTAAAAATTTTAACGTATAATATATTTAAATTTGATTTTATATCTTAAAAGTAGTTTTTTTATACATTGCTTTTATTAGTAATTTATTAATTTTATTAAAAATACAAAATATATCATCTACTATGAGTAAGTGTATTATTTAACTCATAAATAAGTTAGTTAAATAACGTGATGTAACAAGTTTTATAAGTTATAATATTTATAGTTTAATTTTTAATAAATTTGATAACTTAAAACTTTTATAAATATATACTTAAATATTATATATTTAAAATAGGTTTTTTAAAATCACGTCTTCCACATACATCTCCCTCCTACCCAAGTCTTCTCTCTCAATGCTTCAACTCCCACCACCACCATCTTCTCCAGACTTCAAACCAGCTCCCACCCCATCCCCTTCTCTCTCTCAGCCCACCCCACCCACCATCTTCACTGTTAGTAGAAGTAAAGAGACATGAATATGATTTAGTTAATTGTTGAAAACTATATGTTGATGCCATATTTTGAGGGTATTACATGGGTAAAAAGAAGTGAAACAAAGAAGAAAAGGATGCGAGTCTGGTTTATCTCCTTTGTTAAGCTAGAAATATGGTCTAAATAATTTTTACAAAGCTTGAAACAATTATCAAATGGGGTTCATCTTTTAGAGGGACTTGGCGTAATACTCCCCCTCCCCTAAGTAAAGCATCAAAATCCTTGCTTGTGGATGCTGGACCTTGCAAAGCATCAAAATCCTTACTTGATTGCTCATATTTTATTCTTAAGCATGATTCTTGGGAATGTTATATTCAATGTTTCTTGGGATTTATGGTTGAAGATGTGGTTAATGTGTTAAAAAAGGTTGGCTTTTGCCTGTTAGTGTGACAACTTGGAACGTGTTTTTGTTTGAAAGTTGGGAGCATGGATATGGTTTGAAAATTGTATGAATAGACAATGAAATCTGGTGTTGTAGATAGCATTAATGTTGAAACTGTTGGATATTTGATAATGACATTTTATGCAGAGAACAAAGTTTTCAAAGAGTGCGAAATTTCTTAGGCGGTATAGTAAAATGGCTTACATCCTGGCAATATTATTTTCAATATACAATACACTTATAGGCTCTTTTGCTTAAACTAATTTTTGTTTGACTTAAGTCAAGTACTTAAGCTAATTCCAATTTAGCTTAAATGAATTCATTACCGCGAATTTATCTAGTGAACCTTTTTTTTTTCCTATAACTTTCGCTTAAGCGAATTTACAAATGCCTTAAACAAAAATAGTAGTTATTGTATGAACTAGTTTGCAATCACTATGCAGGAAGGGCATAATAAATATATAAAACGACATTCAATAATTAATCAATACATAATCATATTTTAATCATGAATTGATACTGTGAGTGTAGATGACAAATATTTAATTGTGAAAATCATAAACTTCATAAATAGGGTTTAGGATGAACTTTATACATCTAAAATGATATTTAATATTCTAATAAATCAAAAGTTATTTTTAATTATAAATTTAATTAATAAAATAAATTACTAAAAATATATTTTAAAGATTAAACTAAAAAAGTAATTGAAGAAGTAAAATTAAATAAAAAATCATGAATAAATTAAAATTATAAAATCAACATTTAATTTATGTTAAATATTAGTTTTATATAATTAATAAAAGAGAATTTTTATTAAGTTTAAAAGTGTATAAAATATTGTTTTTTAGAGGTTTAATAAAAAAAATAGAAGTTATTTTTATTTGGATAGAGTTATAATATATATATATATATATATATATATATATATATTTAAACAAAGTAGTTATAATTACAACTTTTGTTCGAAGCTATTTAGAACAACTTCTTGAAAGCCAATACATTATAAATTTATTTCAAGAGTTTAAACAAAATAATAAATAAATTTTGAAAGTGATTTCTTAAAAAAAAAAGTGATTTTTTACTAAGAAAAATAGGTGAAACAAACGAACAGTATAAGTTTATTTTAAAAAAATATATCATTTCATTTTTTTTTATATCTAAGAGGGTTTTCATATTTTATGACGTGTATTAGATGAATTTTTATAATGGATAAAGATTTCTTTCTTTAATTAATAATTAAATTTTCTAATTAACATTAGACATAATAAATTATTTATAAATTATGGAAAGTTAATATTTTATCAATTAAAATGATTGTGAAAATTTTAAATTATAAATCCTAAATACATGTATTTTTAATTTAGAATTATTTTAGTAGATTCAGCGTGTGATTGGGAGGAAATTTCAAGTTTCCCAAGGAACAGAATTTGAGATAATTATTTATATATATAATATTGCATGTTGCATTAATTGGGTGTGCCTGCATCGTGACACATTGCAGTGTATGGTGTTTCCCTTTTTACGCTCTTCTTGTTGCATGTTAGAATGCAGCTCTTCTCGTGGACCACCTCGTAAACATTGCATAATTATTTATGACAGTAACATTCATTCAATGCTGAATATCTTATAATTTAATTCGATTTGTTTATGTTTTATGATTTTATAAAATAAATATTAAATAGAAAATATATATTTATTATGTTAAAAATATTTTTAAAAAAATCATCATGCTATGAGTTTGTGACCCACCGCTTCAAAACTGAAGAACAAGAGCATCTCAAGACATGTGAGTGAGAGTGACATCCACGTACCCACAACATTCAATTTGGGTTCATTAATTAAACTTACTCTTCTTGAGGTGACTTTAATTATATTTATGTATTTTTATTGAAAAATTTTATGTGTATTTCTTTTTGTTGATTTTAAAAATATTATGTGTATAATTTACATCTAAATTTTATTTTTTTTACAATATCTCAAAGTTATAAATTAATGAAAAACATAAAACCAACACTAGCAAGTTGCAAACAAATATTTCATTTTATTTTTTTTCTATCTTAATGTTTAAAATCACTTTACACCACCTTGTACTTCGTAGTCTTTCAATTTCAAAGTTTTTATTACTATTTTTAATTTTTGTTATAAAACATAACTATCACTTCTTTTTTCAATTATAAAAAATAATTGCTTATAAGCATTAATTATTAATTTTATAATATTTTTAACTAAATACTTACCTATTATTTATATAAATAGATTTATATATTTATTTATTTAATATATGAATCAATAATTTGACTATTTATTAATATAAATATTTTTAAAATATATTATAAATTTATAACATGTAACTTTTTTATTAGTTTTAATGAAATAATAATTTATTTTTTATGCAAAAAAAATTAAGAAAGAGAGTAAATAATAATAATAATAATTTAGTAAGAAAAAATATATATTAAAACTTCAAATGTTAAACTTTCATAAATAGCAGGTGTAATCGGTGGGTCTGCTTTACAGGCAAAAATTAATTTTCAAATTTCTTATCCTATAATCGTATTATAAAAGTAAGAAAGTTGAACCTATATGGCTGTAACACATTCATTTTCATTCAAAATTTGCTATTTTTAATTATCTTATCATTATTGAATATTCTCTATACATTCAAATTATATATTATAATTAAAAATTCTATATTTGGTTATTGAACTTACATCTTTCTTATTTTAGATTATTTTTTAGTTTTGTTTTTGAAGAAGTATCTCTGTTATTGTTCAATTAGATTTCTTTTTATATGTTTCGTCTTTATAGCTTTTCTTTTTCTTTTTCTTTTAAAGATAAGTTTCTATGTATGTGAATTGCAACTTCTTGTAACTTTCTTGGTGCGGTGGCTTCAGCAGCCTAATGTAGACAGCTTCAGCTACGCGCCACTTTGAAACTTGAAAGATATAAATTTGGTCACGTTCTCTTTGTTCATGTAACAAAACTTTAAACATGTCAACGGAAGAGCGTGGAAGGAACTTCCAACGTTGGAGTTAGAGTGAGGTACCGCTCATAACCATTATTTAACTCTTTTTTCTTTAATTTGAGTTATTAAATAATTCTACACACAGCCCATGTTGGTGTTCACTTCCTCTGAAACTGCATGCAAAAGAAATACAGAAAAAGAACAAATCTTGGAACCTTCTAGTTAATTCATATCAAGTAATCACATTATTCTTTTCTTGTCAATGTTTTACGTTTAGTGGAAAAGTTGACATATTCTTATAAATAAGTGTTTTTTAATGTTTTGGTTTCTTTCTTTCTCCCTGATTTTCATGCCTTTTGGCATATAAATAAAGAAATGATTGATATAGTGTCTGTAGTTTGGAAGTAGGCTTATGGGTTGAATTGGGTTTTGCATGCTAGTTTAGGTGTCATGATAATTGAGCTTTTCCGGTTGCATGTCGCTGCAAACAACTAGTTTGGTGTTTGGTAAGTGGTAAGATAAAGTTTTGCTGGGTTTTCAAGAAGAGGGACATTCCCTTTCTTGTGCTTTTCTGGATTTTGTAGCTCTTGCTTCAAACTTAGGAAAATAGGAGGGTTTCCCTGCGCTGCCTTTGTTGTTGTTCTGTGTGTTAAGTTACCCTTATTTTTATTGAAATTTTCTTTTCTCTGTTTTTTTAGGCCATTTGTGTCCGACTTTCTACTACGACTTTTTAGTTTTGAGTGCATTTGAGGAGCAAGAATTATATTTAGTTTTGAGTAAATGGGCAAAAATGTGCATTCATTTTCTTTTGGACATTGATAAATCTGTTCCCTAAAAGTGAATACTTGTGTAGCCTCCGATTCACTGTTGTCAACGTTTCTATGGTGCCCTGCATTTCAATTGGGTGCATTTGAGGACTAAGAGCACAAATTTACATTAGTTTTGTTTAATTTGTATGAAGACATTATTTCATTCTTTGGTATTATCTGCAGAGGTGCTATGCTCATTCCCATCAACTGAAGGTAGTTGAAGAAATGGGTCAAGAATTTTTGTCCTTGTTTCAGCTGGAAACAAAGAGATTGTTATGCCTCGTTGGCATCACATTTGTGGTGATCTTAGCTTTTCAGTATCGTGAGCTTCCATATGGAAATGTTCTACTCTCTCTACTATCTGCTGAGAAGATACCCACATCAGGAAGTAGTGTATTACAGGCTTTAGATCCACCACCCGAGTTCGAAATTGTAAACAATGTGACAATACTCAACCAAGCAAACTCTACCGTGGACAATGCCGTTGAGAAAACTAATAAAACTTTGATTTCTGATAAAAAGGACAATATTGCAACTACTGGTTTTGTCTTGGAACCAGGAAACATGCCAAACAAATCTCTAGGATTTGATGAGTCTGAGAAAAGTGACATTGCAGAAAGTGTTAAGAGATCAAACAATGTACCTGAAACACAGCAGGTTGGAGATTTTGGACCCAGCAGTTATAACAATACTATTGGTTTGCTTTTTTCAGCGAATCGTTCCGGAGAAGAAAACATTAAATCAACACCTGAACATCAATCTGAAAGTCCATGTGCTTATTCTGCTTTCCCTTCTCCTGAAAAAGCACCAACATATCTATCCCCATCTTTCATATCTACAATGAATATGAGCACAAATCTTGTATCTGCAGTGTTATCAAATGATTCCAACATATCTTTATTTCAGAAAGACAACATAACTGATTCCACGAAGGAAGAGAGTTCTAGGCCATCACATAATGATGGAAATAATTCCTTCGTCAACACTGTGCCTAAGGAGAATCATGATTCTCATACACCAATTCCAGAAGTAACATCAGTATCTGAAATGAACAAGTTATTGCTTCAAAGCCATGCTTCATATCGTTCTATGGTATGAGACTAGAGTGTGAATTTTCTCTTTAGTATGTGACCAGGAGACTTTTGCCCTTTGATATTATAGTGTTCTCTTCTAATGTTGTTTATTTGTTTTTAGAGGCCTAGGTGGTTTTCAGCTGTTGATCAAGAGCTGCTAAATGCCAGATCAGAGATTGAAAATGCACCAATTGTAAAGGATGATCCAAATCTTTATGCTCCCATTTATCATAATATTTCCATGTTCAAGAGGTATTGTTGATTAATTTCTTCCCAAAAAACAAGTTTTAAAAGTATCCTCTAGAAGAAGAAGTAAAATTTCTATTCATGAATTACCCAAGCATGAATATTTAATGACAATGTGAATTAAATTATGAACAGAGAGAGATTATTAGAGAGAACTTGTGTTTACCATTGTGATGAAAAATGCAACATGTTATGAGACTGCAACTTTACCTCATTAATATCATTGTCTTGGTCAGCTCAGACAAAATTTAGTATTCTTCAAAATTGTTGCATCTCTTGATGCTGACAAATCTCCTTGCTGTTCACAGAGAAAAGAAAAACTTTTGTTTTGGCAGATTTGTGCATTTTTCTAAATATGAAAATATTTGGTTAGGTATGTTTGCTACTTTTTCCCTTTGTTTTGTATATGCAAGGGAAATGATTTAACCTTGTTAATAGTTCCACACTGTGAATGTAATTACTAGTGATTCTGATAGGATTTATCTATGTCTAAAATTGCAATAGAGATTGCATTGCAATCACTGAAATTGAAGAACATTGTAGACAAATGCAATTGATGCAGTTGCAAATTTCTATTTTAAACTATGAAATTATCCAACTATCTGGCAGCAATGATGCATAAAACTGGATGCTTATTGGTGATACTGAATTTACATTTCACCTTATGATTGCCTTGTTTGTGACTGTCAAATTTTCAGGAGTTATGAATTAATGGAAAAATTTCTCAAAGTGTATGTATACAGAGAAGGAGCTAGACCCATACTACATTCACCATTTTTCACGGGAATTTATGCATCTGAGGGATGGTTCATGAGACTGATGGAAGCTAATAAAAGATTTGTAACTGAAGACCCAAAAAAGGCCCACCTATTTTACTTGCCTTTCAGTTCAAGGAAGCTAGAGGAAGCATTGTATGTAGAGGGTTCACATAGTCATAAGAACCTAATTCAGTATCTGCATAATTATGTAGACATGATTGCAGCAAAATATCCTTTCTGGAACAGAACTGGTGGTGCTGATCATTTCCTTGTTGGTTGCCATGACTGGGTATGTTTTTCTTGCTCCAATTGGTGTCTTTCCTGAGTCATTTTGTTGGAGCCACAATACCATTTCACCAAGACGTGTCCCTCAAAAGCTAAAATTAGTAATTTCTAAAATAATAAAAAAAATTGTATCATAAATCACTTTATTTTGTTTAAAGTTTAAACAAACAGCTATCTTCTTTGTGATATACAATAAAAAGAAAATGCCTATTTTCTATTGAGTAGCACATCAAATCAGTTCTTGAAACTACGGGCACCACACAATTTAGTCCTTAAAATTACAAAGATATCATTCTAGTCTTCGTAATTATCAAATAACAGTCATTTTAGTCCTTTTATAAAGTAATGGTCATTTTAGTCCTCGAATTTAGAAAAATAAGGACTGAAATGACCTATATTAGATAATTTCAAAAGGACTAAATTGATAGTTTTGTAATTTAAAGGAATAAATCAACTTATGCTAATAATTTCAAGGACTAATGTGTTGTATTACCCATTTTCTATCACAGTAGTTTCATGCATTTAATCTTATGTTACAAGAAACCACTCCACAATGCAGGCCCCAGCAGAAACAAAGGTGCACATGGCCAAGTGCATAAGGGCCCTATGCAATGCTGATGTAAAAGAAGGCTTTGTTTTTGGGAAGGATGTGTCTCTTCCAGAGACATATGTCCGCAACGCGCTAAACCCGACCCGAGATCTTGGTGGGTATTCTGCATCAAAGAGGACAACTCTGGCATTTTTTGCAGGGAAAATGCATGGTTACGTGAGGCCAATTCTATTGCAGCACTGGGAAAACAAAGACCCTGACATGAAAATATTTGGTACATTGGCAAAGTCTAAGGGAAACAGGAACTACATTGAGTACATGAAGAGCAGCAAGTATTGCATTTGTGCCAAAGGCTATGAAGTGAACAGTCCAAGAGTTGTGGAAGCTATTTTCTATGAATGTGTTCCAGTTATTATATCTGATAATTTTGTGCCACCCTTTTTTGAGGCCTTGAATTGGGAATCCTTTGCAGTTATTGTTATGGAGAAGGATATTCCTAATTTGAAAAATATACTCCTTTCCATTCCAAACAAAAGGTATCTTAGCATGCTGATGAGGGTCAAAAAGGTGCAGCAGCATTTCCTTTGGCACAAGAACCCTCTCAAGTATGACATCTTTCATATGATACTTCATTCTATTTGGTACAACAGAGTCTTCTCTGCACCACCTATGTAACAACTTGAAGAAAGGATTGGATCCTCTCTACTTGAGGAACCCACAAATGCATGTGTCTATCACTCTCTTAGGGGACCATCAAGTAAATCATCAGGAGTGGATTTGTAGATTTTTTTTAAATTTTTTTATTTGGTTTATTAGTTGAGAAATTCTGGTCACTAAATGAAATATTGACAAGGTCATTTTGTTGTGTACAGCTTTTGAGGTTTCATTGTAATAAAATTTTCTGTATATATTTCCTGTGCTGATTTTATTAATAGTTTGGTTGAAGTTTGGTTTCCTGTGAAAACTTTTGGGTGGCTATGTTTTGTATTCTTGTACCCTATAGTAGTTCCTTTTAGAAGCTGTGAACAGTTATAAACTATAGAAGCCTTCCATAGATGATGCAAAGCAACGATAATTGTAATATATATCTTTTAAAGTATTAGTATATGTTAAACAAATTTTTAAAATATTGTTTGTCATTAATTTATTTTTTTTTACATCTATAATCATGCATCCATACTATATAATTGGAATTAAACGTAGAATTTGCGTTCCATGGAATAATTCTTAAGGCAATTTAAATATAGAATTTATCATTTTGAACCAATTCTAATTTTGATAAAATCGGAATTGAATTTGAAATTTTGTACTGTAATTTTAATTTTGTCATCTTCAACGAATTTTAGATTAAATAAATTTTGACGCTTAAAAAAAATTTAAAATTCATGCAATGATTCATAATTTAGATGAGTAGATTTTCATATTCTTAGGTGTTATAAGATTATAAGGGTACTTGTTTAACGTCTCTATCTTGTATTCATCAATTTTTCTCTTCAATCTTACAAAACTAAAAAGCAAAATATTTTATTTTAAATAATTTTTAATACCTTAAAGAGTTTATTTGGATTTTAAATTTCAGTGTCCCAAAAGTCAAAAGATTTGCTTTTATTTTAAATTTTTGCAACTTTAAATTTATTTTATTTTAAATGACTTTAAAAAAGAAGCCTTTCTTTCCAAAAATTAATTTTATTTCCCCCAAAATTCACCCCTTTTAAAAAGATTTCCTTTAAAAAGTTTTTCTTGACAACTACACGACTTTAATTTTTCTATGACAACTAAGGATAGTTAAAGCAACGATAAAATCCCATTGAACCTGAATAGTGTCAGTTTAAGTCAATAGTCAATAAAAGAGTAACATTTGAATAATATCTAATTAATACAGCATTTAAATATACAACTTAAAAATATAATAATATTATAAGATTAAAATATAATTAATTTTAACAAATATTTATTTATATAAATATAGGTTATATGATAATTTATAAAATATGATTTTAATTTTATATATTAAATAAATATTTGTGAAATTATTCGACTAACTTATCTTATATAATTTTATTTTCTAGATTATATTATACAAGTATAATTTTTTTATAATATTATTGTATGGCTTATATTTATATGAATAAATATTTATTTTACAATATTATTGTATTTTTAAATTATATATTTAAGTTTTATTATTAAATATTTATAAAATTATTGTGTTGATTCTTTAGATTTGAACATATATATGCTATTGATTTATTCTTTTATTTCAAACTATACCAAGAATATGAAAAAAAAATTCAAAATAGTGGGTTCAGCAACTTTCGTAATCCTTCTTCAAAGTTGTCAATAGTTTTAGTTGATTACAATAATATATTACTGTCACTTTCATTAGTACATTTCAATAAGTTAAATAATTGTAAATGGTTTAAGTTGAGTGATCGATAATTTTATCTTTTTTGAAAACGTACTTTAAAACATTTGGCAACAATCTCTATGTTCTTCTGTGGTTGGGGACATTATCTACTGAGTATTGAATTGTTAGATGTGTACATGCTGAAGGTGACAGACAAATCAGCTTCTAGTATTGCCATCAAGGATACCCTTTTGTAATTGGAATTTGCAGCTTCTGTTGTTGGTTACTGGAAAGCATATTGTTGGAAGAAGACATACATGGCTGTTCCATTGTATTTCATTTTCCTGATACCTGCTTACCGAGTTCTTCACCCTCAATTCTATTTTTCGTTCCTTCTTTTTTATTTCATCTAAATTGAGTAAGCATGCTCTATAAATGTATAAACTAAGGCCATCCTTTACTAAATTAGTCGTGAGAAAATAAAGGAATCTGTAATTTAGGATTTAACATTTTTTTAAAGCATTAAATTTTGCCATAACTGAAATTATCAATCTTGCAAGACAAGTCAAGCACATATGATAATGGAAAATGTTGAGCATTCCTTATGGAGACTGGTTATACAATGGATATATATTGTGCACCTTTATGGCCCATTTAAAATAATGGCTGAATCCATGAGATGTTATAGTATTTGGATTTACATACAAAAACAGTTTCGCTTATATTTTAATATAACATACACTGCCAGAATTTAAAATATGACAAAAATTCACTTCATCTTATGCTGACTTCAATAATATGCTAACATTTCTCGGTGATATAAAAGCCAAGAAAAGAATCGTTGAAAGTGATGATGATGACGACGATTTCGTTTTAAGTCATAAAAGAAGAAAAGTGTAGAAGAAGGAAAGCATCGAAATGGCTACAGCTTGTTCCACATTGTCTCATACAAATTTTATTTAACTTGGGAACAAAATGAAACATGTAAAAAAATCAAGGCATTCTTTATGTTTCTAACTTTGCTTACAGAGACAAGAAGGAGCATACAATTTATGTGACATGACTTTTGAAATTACTTTTCTTTATTATTTGACATTTCACTGTCGTGAGATTGAAAACTAAATGACCCATCACAACCTTCTTTAAATAACTCTCATTTCTTATAAATTTGTCTCAGAAGTTGAGATCTTTGGCTGTATTCAATCTTTCTTGTATCACATGTTCTTGATAACATGATTGATCTTGATTGGGATCACTAGTCTCGAAACTTCACTATCTTATTCTGACCCATTTAAAGTGATAAAGAATCTAAACCACACAAGAGAATGAATATGTTTTAATCAAAGAATGTTAAATTCACGAAATACCTTAATTTTAAGAGTAAATACGCAAAATGGTTCTGGAAAATTTTGATAAATCTAATTTAGTTCTTGAAAAGAGAAAGTCACCAAATTATGTCTGAATTCTTTTTATATGGAACATGTTACGCCTTGTGCTAAAATACTCCTATTAAATTTAACAAAACTGTTTATGTGGCTTGTTAAATATCTGAGTTGATATAATTAATTTCTATCTAACAAAATAATCTTTTAAAACTTTTTTTTTGTCAAACCAATCTCTAAAATTTGACGCTAGTATTTAAAAATATGTAAATTGATTCTAGTTTTAGGGACCGATTTCGTTAGAAAAAAAATAAGTTTTCAAAAAAATTATTTTATAAGATGACAATCATATATGTCAGTTCAACTGACTAATAGCTTATGAAAATAATTTTACTAAAGTTAAACATAAATCTTTTAATGAATGAACTAATTTATCTCACAAAAACAAAATCGGAGATTATTTAGTGACTAATTACTGTTTCAAAGACTAAAGTAGATCTAACAAAATTTTCACTCTAATTTAAATCAATGATAGGTGCACCTTCCTTTGAGCACTTGTTTCACTTCAGACGAGCTCTACTCCCATTCTTCTCTTTCACTTTTCAACATAATTACTGTGAAAAAATAATTGTTATAAGCACAACGCTAATTAGCAACATAACTACACAAGGACCTTTTTATATTTTAGTTCTCCAGTTTCACTCTTAGGAAGAACATCTTTACAAACGACAAACTCGTGAAAATAATAGGTTTCCCACACAATCCAAATAGATACGTTCGTCCCTCACAAAAAGTGGGATTGGATTTGACTTTCAAGTGGCTGAAAGGACTGTTAGCTGCATGATATTTATCCACCGAAGGCATTATTTGAGAACGTGTTTATGTATGAAGATCGTAACATTTCCAAATTGAGACAGACATGCGTAGAAACTATATTGAAAGAGAATTTGAAAGTAACTTCCATTCTGTCGTATTATAATGTGACACAACACCAGAAGAAAATTAGAATAGCACGAGATTCTGAATGCACCTTCAGAGGCACGCAAGCATTTAATCATATGATATAGACAAGAACCTAAAAGATATTCGTACTGCAATATCTCACTCCCCGGGTAGCTTAAATGAACGTGATGAACAAGTAGTGGTCTGGTACATTTTAATAGAACAAAAGTATGGCACCATTGTAATTAGCTAAATTTCAATGAGGTCCCATGTCTCTTGAATTCATGCAATTAATTAGATATAACAATATCACAGAGAAGTGAAACTTGAATAAAAGATTAGAAGATTCATGTATGCCGACCCTGCAGATATCACCTGTATTCCATGTGAATAGAACATGAGATAACATCAGAATCAATGAGTGATCATATGTTATTAATGTGGTAGAAGTGTGCTACATCCTCCATGTATGGGCAATGCATGTGACACTATAGCTAGCAGGCGGTGTAGCTGCATGTTTTAGTCAGGACTCACTACCGTTACCTGTGTTTTGACCCATAAATAATTAAATCCATAAAAGCACACCACCCAATGAAAGAAAAGTGTCACACAAATTGAAGCTACTTTGTGATATACAATTATAATATTCATGTAATAGCCGAGATATGGAACTGTATTGAGGTTTTCGGTACATAAATGCAGAATAGTCTACAAACATGGAAATATGGGATCACCAATACCTTTCCTTTGTGGCAGTTAGATTAGATCCTTGTCATTACCTTTGACTAAAGGGTAGAAAATCCTTAACCACCAAGAGGCTTGCATAATGAAATGTACGTTACATAAACAATGAAAGTTTATGGGAATATATTTGAGTTAGATCGAATTCTCCTAAACACTGAGCCGATCCTCGCTCTCTCTCTCTCTCTCTCTCTCTCTCTCTCTCTCTCTCTCAGATAAACAACTAAAAGAAAAAAATATTAAATACTTAATAAATGTTATATTTTTAAATAAAATTTACTATTTTTAAA